GAATGTCATTACAGTTTGCTGATTTTTCTTTGTCTATGATTCCTACATATTTATGTTCGACTGTTTGTGAACATGATCAAGCAAAATGCAAAACATACGATAATGTTACCTACTGTAAAGATCTCAATGATGTTTGGAACGCGTGTCCTGATTTTAACGAGCTAAATACACTTTTGGTCGATGATTCAGCGGAAAAAATGATTTATAATCCGGTAAGTTGCATTTATGCAATATGTTTTTCCAGTTGAAAAGGTGTTCAGACATTGATTATTTTAACAACTTATGTGTTTATATAGAAATACAATTACATATGCCCACATACCTTTGACGTTGCTTCCCATTCGAATGACAATGCTCTAGGTATGACATAAATTTATTCATGCTTATGCGAATTTAGTTTATTATTAGTAAAATTGCACCTCATTAGTTTGATAATTGAAATTATTTATGTATGTCCTCAGAAAAAGGCGGAAACATACGAGAGTATTTGGAAAATTTGTTGAAGGCCTCTAATGTTCCGGACTTCGTTAGAAATAACCATTTTTCATCGGATTAATTTCGTTTGTCGGTACATTATTTGAACATTCTTGTGTATGTATATTTTGGTGTGATTATATTGTGTGTATATTTTCATTAATTATTCCATATTTACTTCTCTGTATACATATACATTTGAGGATTATTGAAATATCAATAGTTATTAATGTATTTTACATCTGCTTGCAAATGTATCGAAACACATTACTATATCATTGTTTTCCATGATATCCACAACAAAGTTTTCACACTTTTTAATATTGTGTCGGTACTTTATGTCCAGAATGGAAGAAAAATGTGTCGATACCTTTTCAAAAAGTGTCGATTGAAAAAACATCGGAACCCATAATTATAATGTAATAGATAATTTTGTAATATAACCGGTATAAATATACCGATTTTATGAGCGAATAGGTCTACAACCTATATCGACACTTTTTAATATTGTGTCGGTACTTTATGTCCAGAATGGAAGAAAAATGTGTCGATACCTTGTCAAAAAGTGTCGACATTTACACATCGGAACCCAGAATTATAATGTAATAGATAATTTTGTAATATAACCGGTATAAATATACCGGTTTTATGAGCGAATAGGTCTACAACCTATATCGACACTTTTTAATATTGTGTCGGTACTTTATGTCCAGAATGGAAGAAAAATGTGTCGATACCTTGTCAAAAAGTGTCCATATTTACACATCGGAACCCCGAATTATAATGTAATAGATAATTTTATAATATAATCGGTATAAATATACTAGTTTTATGAGCGAATAGGTCTACAACCTATATCGACACTTTTTAATATTGTGTCGCTAATTTTAAGTAACGCGGTGTTTCTTCCTTCATTCAAAATATTTATATGTACATGTTTCTTATACACAATAGGAGTCATGTTGATACTTACGATATATGGAGATCGTTGTCATTCCATTCCGTCTTCGAAAAAATCAGTTGATGTAGGTTGTGTGCTTGTACTCAAACTGAGCTTGACTTGAGGACATGTTAGTTTGTTATGTCCCTCACCGTTGCAGTACCCACATCGCCTAATTTTCTTCTCGACCTTGTTCTTCGGCACTTCTTTTCGCTTGCGTTGTTTTCGTTGAGGGTCACGAACGTTGTTTACTACAATGCTCTGGTTGACTGAATCATTCAAACCAAACGAGTTTTCTAATTCTTCTATTAGTTTTTTCATCTCATCTCTTGCGGTTTTGAAAGACTTGTCTGTCTTTGATGCAATGTAGCATAACCTACTTGACGTTGAACGTAGAGCAGCGAACCTTGCCATTTACATCACTTCTGGAGACACATTCAAATCAACATAATTGGGTGCAGAAGCCTTCGCATCATTAGTCCACCTACTTTGAATCAAAGTCCCGGGCAAATATGTGTAGTCCAAGTGCTTCAAAATGTGAAGTTGATGGCGACACGGAAGTCCAACGGTCTCGAATTTTTTGCAGGAGCAAATTAGAGTTTTCGTACGAGAATCAAAACTAATTTCAAATTTCCTATTTTTTTCTGCGTACTTTGACAAAATATAATGTTGACATTCATCTGATAAGGACTTAATCTCTGCCTCAATCCGGTACAATGTCTCCCGTATAAGTTCATCATGGAACACACGAAAAGATTCGCGGGTAAAAATCGTAGTGGCATGGCTTTCAAGGTCGACCAGTTTTGCGATCTGGAAGGGCTTCGTATGGGAACTTAAGTAATCTTCTTTCAACTCGTTCATACGCATTCTACTAATTCCATCTTCAATTGCACGAACAACATCTAAATATGTCTTCTTGTGTTTCAGTGCAATAGCTAGTGAAACATTCATAGACTCGCACATTTGTGTTGAGCGAATATTGGCAAAGAAATGACCGGTTAGATATGTTTGTGCCCATAAGTGTCGTGTATTTCCCTTCTCAATCACCCATGGATGCTTTTGGACGTTGAATTCTGAAATAACCGAACGCCATTGAATATCAAATTCCTCGGTTGTCCACCAGGAAGCCATGCATTTTGAGAATGCTACTATAAACTTTGGGTCACCAATGTTAGCTTGTGCATTGCGAGAAAGATGCCAAGAACATAATCTGTGCTTAGCATAAGGGATAACAGATTCGATAGCCCTCTGCATTGCCCTATCCCCATTGGTGACAACTGAAATAGGTGATTTATTCATCATGGCTTCTAAAACATTCTGTAGCACCCACTCGAAAGATTGAGACGTCTCGTCAGCGATTATGGCAGTGGCAAACACAATTGTGTTATGGTGATGATTGACACCAACAATAAGCATAATTGGTCGACCATACAAATTATCTTTGTACGTTGTGTCGAATGCAATTACATCACCGAAGCATGTGTAATCCGATCTCGATGTAGAATCCGACCAAATAAGATTATACAATGCCCCCGATTCGTCTACCGAGTATGTCATAAAAAACCTGGGATCATCATGTTTCTTATAATCAAAGTAGGCAATAAGCGCATTCACATCCCCATCGACGATTTCCTTTGCTTTACCTCTTTGAAGTGCATTGTAGAGGTCTTTATGTGTAAATCCAACATTATGATAGCCCCATGCATGCTGCGTTAAATAGTTCATTACTTGTGACGTGCCAACACCGACCTCTTTCAATGTTGTTGCCTCATCGATATCAGCCTTACTTACAGCTCTATTAGAACGCATAAATGGTGTCATAGCAGGTGTGCACAATGTATGATTATGTTTCTGATCATACTTACTTATAACCCACTGATCGTTTGTATTTGTTGTTGTAACTACGACTCTAGCCTTACATCCTGTTCTTGTGACTGGCGTATGAGCACGTTGACGATCAACAATATTGACTTTTGATACTCGAAACCCTTCTTTGGAACAACAAAATTCTTGTGTCTTCACATTCCCTTCCACGTCAAGCCGTGTTGTTCCCTTACGTGCACTAAACCCATGTTCCCGTGCGAATCCCTTGTAAAAGTACCAAGCTTGATCACGTGAACAGAAGAGCTGACCAACCAATCTGTCAGATTCAACAACATTATGTACTTCATGGCATTCCTCGGTTGGCTTAACATTGTCTACATCAGTATTATCCATGGCAAAAATTTTGTTGTGCAAGTTCAGTGGTCCAGGAGTTGATGGAGATATAAGCAAAGGTTCATTTTGAACATGTTTCAGTCGTGCTGCTTTCAAATGGATGTGGTATTGGTAGTGGTAGTTAAAGGGTGGGTACAACATTAAATTCGCAGTACATAGTTAGGTATGTACAATAACTACAAGTATCGACCCAAAAAACATCAAAATCAATAATTATAATGTAATAGATAAATTAACAATGTAACAAGTATCGACCCAAACGAGGTGCACGCATAATATATTAGGTCAACATAAAGTATCGACACTTATTAAAAGTATCGATCCCGAAAACATCGAAACCAATAATTATAATGTATTAGGTAAATTTACAATGTAACCGATATAAATATACCGGTTTTATGCTAAAATAGGTCAGCATATAGTATCGACACTTGTTAAAGTTGCGTCGATACTTATGGTCTAGAATGAATGCAAAAAAAGGTGTACCCTTAAAGTGTCGATACATTTATTAAAAAAGTATCGATCCCTAAAACATTGAAACCCATAAGTATAATGTTCAATGAAACCGGTATAATTATACCGGTTTTATGAGAGAATAAGTCTAAATCATGTATCGACATTTTTTTAGTTTGTGTCGATATTTTTGTCCAGAATGAAATATTAAAACCAACCAGGTGCAAGCATAAAGTGTCGATACTTACAGTTTAGAATGAATGCAAAAAAATGTGTACCCTTAAAAAGTGTCGATACATTTATTAAAAAAATATCGATCCCTAAAATATCGAAACTCATAAGTATAATGTAATAGGTAAATGGTCAATGAAACCGGTATAATTATACCGGTTTTATGAGAGAATATGTCTAAATCATGTATCGACACTTTTTTAGTTTGTGTCGATATTTTTGTCCAGAATGAAATATTAATGTCCAACGAGGTGCAAACATAAAGTGTCGATACTTTTATAAAAAGTTTCGACACTTTATGAAATATTGAAACCGATAATTATAATATAATATGTAAATTTGTAATGTTACCGATATAAATATACCGATTTACTTATAAAATAGGTCAATATAAGCGTTACCTATTACATTATATAAGCGCTACCTAATATGTTATTATACTTGATAATATTTCCCGTTAAATACCTATTTTATTATATAAGCGTTATCTATTACATTATATAAGCATTATCTAATATGTTATTGTACTTGATAATATTTTCGATTAAATAATATAACATAATCGATCTAAATTTTAACCGATCACTTATTTAATCAATCACACCATATATTAACCGATTTTTAGGCGTCGCACTGCAGAGCAGAACTACCAAAAATCAACATATCCACACTCTTGGAGCTTCTATTACTCTATCCTTTTCTGCACCATTCACCCTTTCGAAGAAGCTAACTGTTCAAGAATGTCATACTTTGATCATCTAATTCTAAACACCATTAATCCTTTCCTTTTACTGCTAGCTTCAACCCTCTGTCTCCTTCCCCTCATCTTCTTCACCGGTTTTCGCCGTCAAAAACAAGCTCAGCCCCGAAACCCAACTCCACAGTCGTACCCCATCATCGGAAATCTCCCCGGCCTGATCCGAAACCGTCACCGCTTCCACGATTGGGTCGCCGACATGCTCTCGGAGACCCCATCGTCCAGTCTCCAAGTCAACTCCTTCCTCAACCTCTCCCACGGCGTTTGCACCGCCAACCCCGTCAACGTCCACCACCTCCTCGTCACCAACTTCCAAAACTACGTCAAAGGCTCCCGGTTCCGCGACCACCTCCACGAACTCCTAGGTCACGGCATCTTCGCAGTCGACGGCGATCTCTGGACCATTCAGCGTAAGGTATCCAGCCACGAATTCAAAACCAAGTCAATCAAACACTTCATCTCTGATGTGGTGACGTCACAAGTCGCTCACAACCTCGTACCTCGTTTGTCGAACGCTTCTGACGAGAACAGAGTCGTGGATCTTCAAGAGATTCTCCAAAGATTCACGTTCAGTAATATCTGTGAAGTTTTGTTCGGAGTCGATGTTTCATCTCTGGTAAATGGTGATTCTTTTGCCAAAGCTTTCGATGACGCTGTTAAAATCTGTTCTTCGAGATTCTTTAACCCGATTCCCGCCATATGGAAAATCCAGAGATTGCTGAACATTGGATCGGAGAAGAGATTGAAAGAAGCGATCGATATAGTCAATGATTTCGCTCTGAAAATCATCGAGTCCAAAGAGAACGAAGAACAAACCGAAGAAAACCGAGATTTGTTGTCGAGATTTATGACCAAAACATCATCAGAGATGGAGTTTGAAGATGAAGAAACGAGGAGGAAATTCTTGAGAGACATAGTCATAAGCTTTGTCCTCGCCGGTAAAGATTCAACGTCGACTGCGTTGACATGGTTTTTCTGGCTAGTCAACGGTCATCCTCTTTCCGAGCGTTTGATACAAGAAGAACTGGCCACACTGGATTCTAACTTCACCTACGATGACTTAAAGACGTTGAATTATCTACACGCGGCTATATCGGAGTCGCTGCGGTTGTTTCCTCCGGTGCCGATCAACTCGAGATTAACGGTGGATGATGATGTTTGGCCTGATGGTACCCACGTGTCGAAAGGATGGTTCGCCGATTATTCTGCCTACGCGATGGGGAGGATGGAGACTGTGTGGGGTCTCGATTGTAGGGAATTTAAGCCCGAAAGATGGCTAGACGACGATGGTGGTGGTGGTTCTTTTAAGCCGCCGGATCAGTTCAAATTTCCGGTGTTTCATTGTGGGCCAAGAACGTGTTTGGGGAAAGAAATGGCATTCGTACAGATGAAGACGATTGTGGTGGCTCTGATGCGTGAGTTCGAGATCTTAGCCGTTGATGGTGGTGCGACTGCAGAGAAAATTCTGGATCCCCCTTACACGTTATCACTACTTTTGAAGATGAGAGGCGGCTTCCCTGTTAGATTAAAGAAAAGGATGGTTATATAAATAGTATCGTATGAATTATAAATTATTAACTTACGCTTGTAATAAGTAACTTATGACATTGCAGCTTGCGAATCTAGTTCCACAATCAGTTCATGACCAACACCTTTCATGGATTCAATAAACATTTCAATGGTTGTTTTCATATCAATCATTTTCGCATGGTCTAAATAAACTGCAAAAGTCGGATCATAAAGTATATCGTATATCTTCCCCTGATAATCTCTCAAAACACCACCACATCCAGCTAGTCCCTCTTTAAACGCTCCATTTACAGTGAATTTAAGGCATTCCAGGTTTGGAGGCCTCTACTCAACGCAAGGCAACAAACTAGGTTAGGACGATATAACACAACTTTGTGGATTCCGACACCAAGTATCCCTCCAATCCTTCATATCACTTGTCATTGCTTTACCCACAACATTAAGTGCAACTTCACTAAGTAGATCATTTCCTCCAATGTCATCTTTTTGTCTTTAAAAACTCGTTCATTCCTTGTTAATCATATCATACATAGAGTGGCCACCGCTATAATAATCCACAATCTTCTAAAAAATCATGTCAAAGAAACGCCAGAACAAATATTAAACAAGTCTGTAATTGATAAAGAGGACTTTCAAGGTAAATTCCACCATTCGAAAACCTTGGACCACAATAGTTTAGTGAACTCACACGCCACAGAGAAATGATCAACACTCTCCATTACCTCACCACACCATGAGCAGACGCATAATAAAGGATGTAGATCAATCCCCATCGACAGCAAAAATGCATTGGTTGGAACCCGATTGATGATCAACATCCAAAGAGAACTCTGAAAGCGAGAAGAGACTTTCAACTTTCCTATTACATCAAAGTTAAAATATGGATCCTCAATTCCATTATTTACAAGCTTTTGTCACGCCCATAGAGTTTCGATCTAGCCGAATGTGCTGCCTTAGACACTTTCTGGTTGGTCTAGGCGTCTAAGTAAGCCTTTCCACACTAAGTGTGGGTCTTTAGATGGATGTGTAAGCAAAAATGAACAAAGGAAGGGAAATGCTCACAAAACAAGAGAGAAATTTGAGTGAATGCTCTGAATTGTATTCACCATTGAATGGATGAAATGAGGTAGGGAAGGCCTTTGTTTATAGTTGTATCCCCATGCACTAGACAATCTATACGGATTTACGTTAAGATGAGCCCAAATCCCCTAATCTAAGGAAAGATAATCAAATCATATCTAATTACATCAATCATAGTATTTATTTCCTTGATTGTGTGTTCACACTGAATACAACAAGATTCCTCCATAATCTCCTCCCATTTGATATCACTTGCCTTTTCCACAAAATCAATGTGAACAAGCTCTCTAGCATTCTCCAAGTGAAGGGCCAAATTTGATGGCCTAGGCAGACTTAATACTTCGCATGGTGGATATTAGCGCACACGTCGCATACTTAAACTTACAAGTCGTGACATTCTCTCCCACCGACCCTAGTAACGCCTTCGTCGTGACACTAGGATAAACTTGGACTTGATCACCTTAGATACTCCTTAGTGCCTCATCTTGCTGGTGTCCCCCATAAGGACTGGTCCCTCCATAAGGACTGTTTGAATCTGCTCATGTCGCAATGTAAAATCACTATCCTCCGTGTCATTGTGTACATCTCGATCGTAGAAGCTATCTCTTACCAAATTTGATTCACCTTGGTTTGGACACTCTCGATCCTTCGGTAAATATGGCAAATCAAATTGAAAAGCACTTAGCCATTATTGAGATGCACCTCCCACAGTTTCTCAATCACATTCAGCTCAAAATGCATCAACCCTCCTATCTCAACGAAGTCTGATGCCCCTTTTCGTATAAGTTTTTCTTTCACGAAGTCTGGTGCCCTTCCACCTTACCCATTGTTGGTGTCTCCATGAGTTTCTTGTCCCACACATGCTTGGGTTCCCTCAACCCATCCTCGGTTACGTCTCCAATAGTAGCCTTTAAAGCGATGTTCGTCTCCCTCGAAACATCCTTGTCAAATTGAATGGTCGTCAAGACATTGGCCCCTTTTTCCTTGTCTCGATACACAACACAACAATTTGCCGTTTTGGATCCAAGATGCACATGGAATTTGGGAAGGAATTATAAGAGTATCAAAGCGGTCAAGGAAGCTAAAGCCAATGACAAAATCAGAATCATTCAAATGGATTACCTTGAAGTCTTGATCACCCCAACTATCAGAACTCCCTTGGAATTGACAGTCATGATCAACTCATTTATTTGTTCTACTTTGTAACCAAGATTACTAGCAGCCTTTTTTGGACATGAAGAGATCATTTGCGCCGATGTCCACTAGAGCACTCTTCGATTGTCTCGTAACATTGATGTCCACAAACATAATCCTTTCTGCTTTCGACCTCTACTTGCCTTAGTATAATTTAGTATCATGGTACCAAGCCTTGCAATCTACTCAATCTTGGGCTTGTCCTCTTTCTTGGATGGTTTGACTTGGTTTAGGCAATTTCGCAACTCGTGCGACTTCTTAACTTGGTATCTCTTAGTTGCTTCCTCTTTTCCCTCGGCTTGACGGTATTGACTCTTCCAATTGAGTTAAGTTGGGATACTTCTTCCTCATATTTGTCAAATCTATGACGATGGCCACCAGTTTAGGCTTATTTAGGTAATCTTTCATCGCATGCTCACCGCTATAAAAATAACATTTGAAGGGATCGTCACTATTCTTCCACCATAGCCTTCTTTACCAGTAAGGCCTATTCTTCGATAACTTCTTGTTGTCATTCGAAGACTCCTTAGACTCATCCCTAGACTTCACGCCCTCGTCTCCCATATTTTTGTCCCATGTTTTGAAAAATTATGGATATTTTTAAAAATTAAAAAATATTAAAAATTCTACAATATATATATATATGTGAAAAAACACAAACACATAACTAATTTTATATTTTTATTAAAATTATTTTAAAATAATTTTTATGATCGTAAAGTATATCATAACAGATAATATTAAAAAAAACATTAAAAATGAGTTTTCGTTCCATGTTTTGAAAAATTATGGATATTTAAAAAAAAACATTAAAAATTCTTAAAATTCTACGAGATATATATATATGTATATGCAAAAACACAAATACATAACTAATTTTATTTTTTCATTAAAAATGTTTAGAATTATTTTTTATTAACGGAAACTATATCATAACAGATAACAAAAAATCTTAAAATTAACTGCATTTATAGTAGTAATTAATTCATTATATATATATATAAAAGGAGAATAATTAAAGAATTAGATTGATTTTATATTTTTATTAATATCATTCTTTTCTTTATCTATAAGATTTCATTCTAAATTTTACTCAAGAGAGATCGAATTTCTAACTATGAGATCTAATATATTTTCTTACTGATCATAAGTTCAAAGAACACTATATACATATACATATAATCATTTGAATTGTATTTAATCAACATTCTTCAAATCAATTTCAACTTTCTAGGGCAACATGCACAGACAATAACAGCTGATTCAGGCACAAATGGCAACACAAGTAGTTGATAGCCATTATATTATGCAGAAAACAAACATAAACAAAAGGGTTTCGGAAACAAATTTCACTTGAGAAACCTACAAGATGATTGGAAAATAAGAAAAGCAAACGCTAGCTGAAACCCTGAAATCAGTTCTTCACAAACAGGCTAAATTCATAATCAGCTTGAGCTCTGATCATTATCTAAGGCTCACCATCCAATCCCTCCACGTAAGGTTCATTCAAATCAAAATCTAGCAGTGTTTTTGATGAACAAACCTTGCTGCCTTTATGATCAGCTGCTTTTATAATCAGCTCTCCACTAGGGGTTTTAGGGTAAAAACCAGGCTTCTGATCAGCTCTTTCTTGTTCAAGCTTCAATGGGGTCTTGTGAAATCGATCGAAAGATTGATTTTTTGGCATTAATGGTGGGTTTTTTGAATGTTCTAAACCAAATGAATCACCTCGAGATAGCTTCATGAGACAACAAGCAGCTTCGAGAATTTCGTTGTCGTCGTCGTCAAGATCAGAACCTGATTTCTCGAATCTTTTGGAGGTGTTGGTCTTTCATTTTGGAAGTGGTTTCAACAGATCGGAAACCGAACCCTTGACCTGATCAACTACAAGAGCTTCATCGTTTTCCGACACACTGGAACAGCAGCTGTTTTTATCAGACGTCGGCAGCCTTATCCCTCTCCGGTTCCTCTCAACAAAATTTTCGAGATAATGTTCTAAAAGAAATACGAGCTAATGCACTCTCAAGATTAATTGCTCAAATAGGGTGAAATCTACAGTGTTGGCCGGGCGACCTACCATTGCTCAAACAGAGAGAATGAACGTGTTGCATGGCACATGCACGTCCCAACACATAGGTCGCCATGCCCTCCGGGCGACCTATCCTCGCTCGATTCCCTCGCATAGCTCGCTCGGTTGCCCTCGGATGCCCTCGCATAGCTCGTTCGGATGGCCTCGGTCGGATGGCCTCGGATGCTCTCGGATGGCCTCGGATGCCCAGCGTGTTGGGACGTGCATGGCACATGCAATCTCTTGTAGCTTACCGGGAAGACATGGCGACCTACGGCCAACACTGTGAATTTCATCTTTTTTGAGCAATTAATCTTGGCAGTGTTTTATCTCGTGAATTAATTTTTTTCAAAACATTATCTCGAAAGTTTTGCCGTTCCTCTCGGGATGGTTCCTCATATGCCCGAACAACGATTTCAGCGACTTGAAATCCTTGTTGCATATGCAGCAGCTGACCCTCTCATCGCCATCTTGGTTTGGACCATTGTCCAGGGACGCCGCCATGTTCGAGATCTTTTGCTTGGACTTCGCACGATGTCGAGGACGTTGTTCCTCGGCTGACGCTTCGAGATCTTCCGATGGCAGATAGCTTTGTTGCCCTTCATGTGGATCCTTGTGTGTCCGCCTAATGCTTTCCCCGACGTAAACCCTTTACTGCAAACGAGACAGATATGTTGTTCTCATGGTGTTTCTCATTTGATCATT